GGCAGAGCTGGATTTTCATGCCTCAACATCCACCCATCACCCACAGACCTGCAATTAGAGCGGGAGGCTCAGCTCCCAGTGCTAATTTTAGGAGCAGACTTCCCAGGCTCCATCCTTTTCCACAGGGCACTGGTGCCACCAGGAAGAGCTGATGCCCCAGGTCCCCTCAAACCTGACTTAAAAACAAGGGACACAGGAGAGTTGTTTCGTGTTTCAGAAACCATCACCTGCTCTGCCTGACACGTTTCTTTTGAAATAAACCACCACCTCCCTGGGAGCAGAAATCCTTGCCCCAGTGATCGTTATTAAGGCGGTTAATTACTCAGGCTGTTGCCAAGCAGGAGCTGTTCCCATCTCCTGGAGGGAGGTGGCTCTGCCCCTCTGGGACCTGCAGGACTCTCCTCCCCTCCTGTCACCTCTTGCTAGTCCCAAAAATCCAGGTTTTTCTCTTCCAAAAGGAGCTGTTCCCACCTTCACCCACAATCCCTGAGGAATCCTGGGAGGGGACTGGAAAGAAGAGGCAGAGCCAAGAGTTTCTCCATTTCTTTATTCTCATCCAAATACTAAAAATCCCTCACAACACAATTTACACTTCTTGGTTTCAGATCCTTCCACCACTGAGACTCTCAGGTTTTGGTGGGAAATTCCTCTTCTTCCTTTTTATTTATTGTTTTTTTTATATATATTTTTTTTGTTTTATTATCAAAGATTTAGAGTCACAATAAATATGAGTGACAAAACCCTGCCCTGGTGTCACGTTCCTGTTAAACTCCTGTGGTAAGTGATTATAAATGTTTCTTTTTTCCCCCGTTTTGTGGGTTTTTTTGTTGTTTTTTTAATTAAAAAAAAAGCACAATGCAAATTATCTCACTAAATGCAATGTACAGAGCTCTGCCTTCAGCAAACACTCCTGTGGTTCCTTGAGGTCTTTTTGCTTTTTATATATATATTTATATATTCATTATTACAAAAAAAAAGAAGCTTCTGTGCTCCTTCCCAAAGGAGAAAATGAGAAATGAGCTCAATTGTGTTTTGATGAGGGGGGTTTTGATGAGATCTGCCTCAGCTTGCTCTGCTCTCATTTCTTCAGCCCAATCTTCCCCCCCCCTCCTCCCCAATTTTCCATCCTGGTTTGTACTTTGGTCGTGGCTTTTTTTCCTTAGTGAGCCAAAAAAAAGGAGTCACAATGAAGTCTCAGGATTCAGAGTTAACGTTGCCCTAAAATGACAATGATAAAAAAAACAACAACCCAAATGATCCTGAATTTAAGGTTAACCAAGAGTCTTCCTCACCGATCCAAGAATCCCTAGAATACAGAAATCAGCAAAGTCACCTTCTCCACCAGCTGGAAACACCCCCCAAGTCGACTGTGCTATGAAAACAAAAGGTTCCACCAGGCAACTCCTGGTGTGTCTGAGTGAAGAACTGACCCTTTGCCAACACCCCCCAGTCACACAGAGAATAAACGAGGCCATAAAACCAAAAAAAGTGCCAAAGTAACAATTGAAAAAACCAACAAACCAGGCCACCACACAAGCTCCCAAATTGCAACACGGGTTTCAAATGAAAATCCGGGGTTTTATTTCACAAGTTGCTAAAATCTAAGTACAATAAAGTCATTGTCATTATTACTGGATTATAAAATCTTGCCGTCGCAAGGTCTCCAAGAAAGGTTATATGGCTTGCAAAGAACCAAGGCTGCTCTAACCCTCTCCCCAGGAGAGGGGGGAAGCAAGCAGCACCCCAGCAATGTCAAACCAGCTCATGCAGCAGTTTGCAGCGAAGCAGTGGAGGGGCTGGGGGGAACGGGACACGAGGCCGGATACTCCACCTGGATGCAACCGCTGGCCAGGCCGGGCTGTGGAGCAGCACCTGCAGTCTCTGGTTCTGAGGGAGCTCGAAGTCAAACGGTTGGTTTTGTGGTGTTTTGTTGGGTTTTTTTTTTTTGTGTGTGTTTTTGTTTCCCAGGAGCAGGCTGGGGAGGAGAGCGTGGGCAGCTCTGCAGATCCGTAGCCCTTACGGAGGCGGGAATTCCCAACGGGAGGGATGAACCAAGGATTCTGTTCTCCAAAGCACATCTAACCCTCCCCCCTCCCTCCTTCACGGTTCCCAAAGGATTTCACCATCAGGCTGGAACATCCTCCCGTGGCTATTCCACCTATACTGAGTTCCTCTGCTTGTCTGTGAGGTTTTTTTGGATCTCTTTCCTCATTTTCCCTGCAAGAAGGGGAATGAACAGAAGGGCAGGAGGAGATTTGGAAAGACTGCAGCAAGTGTTTGAACAACTAACTAAATAAACCCAGCACGGGTCCTTAACTAGCCCAGGTCAACACTACTTAACTGAGTATGAAGTTTTAACTAGGAAGGAAGAAGCAAATCTGGCATTTAACACATGGATACAACTTCAGTCTTTTCCTGGTACATTTATCTAAATAAATAAAACCCCCAAATTACCTGCAAAGCTCCAAGAACCACAGGTTAAAACCCATGTCAAAACTGGTTTGAATCCCAACAGCCAAATATCCCTGTAAGATTTCCTCTTCACTGACAAGGCCTCCAAAATAATCCCACCCCAACATCTAGGATAATGTTTGGGGGGTTTTATCCTACATTAAAGGAGAATAGGTTGTGGCCCAGCACTGCTGAGGGAGCAACATTTGTATACTCGTCTGTATTTTCAGTTCCAAACCTTAAAATAAGTCTTCTCAATGATTTTAAGGCTTATTTTACATCTCTCCTGCCCTCTGGGCTGAAACAAAAATTCTCAAGCTGCTGCACAGAACTGCTGGTATCCAAAAAGGTTTTGACATGGCTTTTAGAACAGGCAAGTTCAATATTTCTGCCCCTCTTTCCATTCCCCCCCCTTTTTTTTCCCCCCCAGCATCAGCTGAAGCTAAAGCTGCACTGGGAAGAGGGTGAAGTTGTGCAGGTTTCCCAAAAAACAGTCAGATTTGAATTTTAGTTTGAGAAGTTTTGCTTGTTCTTTTTAAACAAATGTCCAGGGATGCAACAGCACCAGACACTGGCATCAATGCCAAGAGAACCCAGGGATTTGTCAGGAGAGAGGGGAGGGAAAACCCCAACCAAACAAAAAAAAAAAACAACCCAAAAAACTCCACACAGGAAAAGGAACAGAAACTTTCTCATCACATTTCGAAGTGCAAAACTAAAATGCACTTCAGTGTCTCTCCCATCTCCCAACCCCAAAATCTTGGAATGAAAAGAACAATGACAGAACTCAGACCCATTCCTCTCATCCCCATTTTCTTCATGTACATTTGTAAAACAAACAAACAAACAAAACCAAAGTCAAATTGAAGTTCTAGGGCTTTATACAGTTGCAAAACTAGGGAGTTTCTAGACTACTGAACAGGTTTGGTTTTTTTTAAAGTATCTAAATACTGATATTCACACAACAGAAGAGGGGCTCAAATGAAGGAGTTTTTTGTGTCACTATTCAAGTTAGATCTGAAGGGGGAACAACCCTGCCCAGTTATTGGGTTGGTGTTGGATCTAACAGCAACTGCTAAGAAAATAGATTCAGCACGGGCTGAATAGTAACCCCTCTCCCCCCCCCTTTTTCTTTTATATATAGATATATAGATATATATATATAATTTTGCAAATAATTCTTATCAGCACTACTTCCAGCACTGATATGCAACCTAAGTAGTAAGGCATATTTCTGCCACTTGAATTCAACTTGTAATTTGGGAGAAGCACAGGGAAGGTGACAAGAACGGAACAAACCAAAACTGGACCTGATGGGTTTGGGTTGAAACTCATGGAATTCCCAAAACATTTAAAACCACTTGGAGAGCTGTCCTGAAAGCAGGGTCACCTAAAGCTCTGTCAAGAAGGAAACAAGTGATGGACAGAGGAGCATGCTCGGGATGCCTGGAAGAACGGAGCTGGAGAGGGATCAAGGTGGGCAGTCCTGCCCCCAGCACGTGCTGGCACTGTCACCAGGGCCACCACAGCAAGGAGCAGCACGGGGACCAGCCTAGCAAATAGGGTTGCAACTGCCTTTGACAACGTAAAAGCTTCACAATCCCCATGCCCCAGGGCAGACAATGATGTTGGTGAGATGCTGATTTTAGGATAGAAAATTACAATGGTTATATAGTAAACAGCACCTGGAAGTTTACTAATGATTTTTACAATTAACAGCAGCACTGTGGTCTGATTATTCATGCATGCTTTCTAAGAAAGAGAAGAAAAGAGGCAGATGTTGAGAAGAATCACGTTGGTCTTTTTTTTTTTTTTTTTCTATTTTTTTTTTCTTTTTTTTTTTTTTTTTTTTTTGAGTAAAATTGCTCAAAACAACAACAACAACAACAAAAAACCCTCCAAAAAAAGAAAATAATCAAAAAACAGTTTCAACTTTTAAGTCTCTGGGAACATATGAAAGGCCCAACTGCTCTTCGCTGAATTAGAAAGACTGAACAAAGGTGTTTGTCTATTCAGGAAATTAGGTTTTCAGACTATCAACAGTTCAAAGTCTATTCCAAACAGAATCCAACAAAAGTGAGAGACTCCTGCACTGGTTCCCACCTACCAGACAAGTTTTGGTGGCAGCCAGTCCCTTAGGAAGAAAAACAAAACATACTCAACTGGAATTTTGAGTTTGCACTTATTTATCATTAGCTCATCATCATCAGAAGATTTGGAAACATTATGATCTGTAGAACTGCCTTCCTGGCTGGAGGAGGGGCAGGGAAGAAAAGCAAACATGAACTCGGCTCACTAAATGCATCTGCAGGATGGGGTTGAAATTCCTCTCTCTCCTTGCAGTGACATCCATCCCCAGGGAACACCACGTTCCTGCTGCACGGGGAGCTATGAATAAGGAACCCAAAGGCAGAGTCATTCAGTCCCTCCTTTTGTGCTGGTGCCAAAAAAAAAGAAAACAACCAACCATCCAAACTAAATACATAAAGCAAAAAAACAAAACAAAACAAAAAACAAAACACAAAAAAAAAAAGAGAAAAAGGATTCTTCCCCTTCCCTGACAGCCTTCATCATCAGTCAAATCATCAGAATCTGAACCAAATGAGCTCAAGTCTTTCCCACCCACGTGGTGTCATTTTTCTCATAGCAGGGACAGCAGCACTCGATGGGATGAGGAGTGGTCTTCTTGCATCCTATAAAGCCTGGGGCATATCCAGCTGGGATTAAAGCAGATTCCACTGTAATGTGGTATAAAAAGGATGGCAGAGACAGGAAAGTCTTCCTCTGGGCTCCTCTGCATTATTTCCACGTGGCAGACTGTGGGATGGACCGTGGGGGAATCATATCCAGGAGATACTCGCGCTGGCGGTCGACGGCTGAGGAGGATTTGTGCACAGCTAAGCCAGGGCTGACGAAGGGCAGAGCCCCCCCTGGGGACACAGAACAGAGCAGAGGGGACACAGGTCACAGTGTGACACCAACCTGAGACACAAACCATGTCACCCACATGAAAACAGATCATCTAAGTAAGCACTACTGGCTGCCAAGGCCAGAGACCCTCAGAAGATCAGTTATCTGAACCAACAGGAGCAGGATTTTCTACCAGGAATGAAGATCTGAGCAGGCCAGAGCTCTCTGCATTGAAATCACATTTCAAATGAGAAATTAAGCTGTCAGGAGTAACAAAAATAAGATGAAATCCATTCATTACCAGGCAAGAAAGTAGATCACAAAAGAGCTAGTTGCTACAGTGTTTCTTTCCAGGAGATCCTAATTATCATTGCAGAAAACAAATGACTCCTCTTGAGTCACGTTCTTTTATATAAAAGAAAGATTAGAATTTATAATTTTCATCTGCTGAAAGCAACAGCTTTAGTTACTGCCAGTCCTGAGGAAGGCTGGGAGTGCACACTAGGGCCTCAGAGCAAAACCATCTCTTGCCTGTACGTTGCCCCAGCAAAGAGAAACACCAGCCACATGGAAATACCTGAATTCAGCTCCCAGAAATTCCCAACCGGCTCATGCAGCCTGGGAGGGGCTGCACAGGGACCCCTCCTGAACAGCTTGGCAGTGCCCCTGGTTTTAAGTGTGTGAAGCAGAGGTTGGCAGCACCAAAGCAGGGGTTTGGCAGCACCAGAGCAGGGGTTTGGCAGCACCAGAGCAGGGGTTTGGCAGCACCACCCAACTGCCCCTTTTTCCACGAGCCAACAATCCACCCCGAAACCCAGAGCCAACAATCCTGAGAGCAACATCTTTGAGGCTTCCATGCAGGAAGTGTCAAAGGGAAAGCATCCTTAGAGCTAGGACTGCTGGACAGAGAGGAGCTGAAGACAGAAGAGACCTGAGAGAAGAACCCACCTGTATTGATGGGAGTCTTCTTCCAGGCGGCCGCGCTGCCCTTGCTGCCGGGTCTCTCCGCGTGCTTCCCCGGCCGGCTGCCCAGGGCTGCAGCAGACGAGGTGTTCTGCAGCTTGGGGGACTGGCTGAAGGGGTGCAACACCCCCCGGGCACCTCCAGGACCTCGGGACATCTGGCTGGAAGTCTGGCAAGAGAGCAGAGAGTCAGATGGAATCAAGGAAGGGACCTCTGGTGATCAGCCAGTCCCCTGCTAAAGCAGGATCCTCTGGAGCACATTTCCCAGGGCTGCATCCAGGGGGGGTTGGGATGTCTCCAGAGAAGGAGACTCCACAGCGCCCCTGGGCAGCCTGTCCCAGGGCTCCATCACCTTCATAGTAGAGAAGTTTCTTCTCATATTTCAGTGGAACTTCCCATATTTCAGCTTGTGCCCATTGCCCCTCATCCTGTCACTGGGAGCTACTGAGCAGAGTTTTGCTCTGTCCTCCTGCACCCACCCCTGGACACTCAGACATTAGTAAGGTGCCTTCTGCCTCAGCCTTCTCCTCTGCAGGCTGAACAGCCCCAGCTCCCTCAGCCTTTCCTCACCAGGGAGATGCTCTAACCCCCCCAGTCATCTTCATTACCCTGTGCTGGACTCTCCAGCAGACTCTCCTGAACTGGGAAGTCACTCTGGTGGGAGGTGCCCCTGCCCACGCAGGGGGGTTGAAATTAGCTGATCTTTAAGCTCCCATCCAACCCAGCCCACTCCATCCTACGATTCTATGAAGGTCATGCCTCAGTTTCACACTTGTCCCTTGTCACCAGGACCTGGAAGGAGCCTCACCTGCTTGAGTGAGTGGTGCTGCACGATGGGGTCTGCCTTGGTCTGCCCAGGAGAGGAGGTTTGCTGCAGGATCCTCTGCTCGATCTCCTGCTCCTGCTGCAGGGCTTTGACGAAGGCGGCCTTCAGCCGGTTGGTGTGCTCAGCTTTCAAGGCCTTCTTCTGGTTGGATGTCATGCAGGTTTCACACATGATGGTCCCGTTCTTCTCCTCCCTCCAGCGGCAGGTGAAGTCAGTCTTACACTGAGCACACATGTAGGGCTCGCGGGAGGACATGGGGACCGAAACTTTACCTGGAGAATACAAGCAGGGCAAGCTCAGCTGGGCTGTGGCTTCTAGGAATGAGCAGAACTTGGAAACCTCAAGGATATTCCAGCATTAAAAACACACAGCAAACCCTCCACCCGCAGCCTGGAGCCTTTTGCAGCTCTCAAAGGAGGTTTTGCACCTGAAAGGAGGTTGTAGAGGGGCAAGTAACAAACAATACAAGAGGAAACAGCCTCAAGTTGTACCAGGGGAGATTCAGGTTGGATATTAGGAGAAATTTCTTCACAGAAATGGTTGTCAAGCACTGGAACAGGATGCCCAGGGATGTGGTGGAGTCACCATCCCTAGTAGCACTTAGAAGTCGTCTAGACATGGTGCTGAGGGATGTGGGTAAGCAGTGGACTTGGTAAAGTTGGGTTAGTAGTTGGACTTCGTGATCCTTCAAGGTCTTTTCCAACCTAAACAATTCCATGATTCAACCCTTAAACTCTTCCCTTCTGTCAGTGTGTGCAAAAGGACCCAGCTTTAGATACTGAGAACTTACTGGCTATGGACAAAGAAGTGGGCAATAGGAAGTCTACAGCTCTGGGGAGAACTGGAAACATTTTAGAGAAATCTCCACCACCAGTGTCTTGCTTGTGAGAATCACAACTGGTTGTTTTATTTGTTTTTTTTAATTTTTTTATTCTTTTTCTTAAGAATTCTGAATTCAAGTTTGAAAATTATTAAAAGGAAGTGAATCCTAGATCTGACAGAGCATGACAATTCACTCCTGCAAAGCCTGGAACTCCTTGCTACCTGCTGTGGAGGTAAAAACCCAGATGGGAAGAGATCACTCCCGGCCTCTGAGGAACATTTTTAAGGCAACCTCACCTTGAGTCTCCAGCAGGTTCTGCACAACTTCTTCCAACCCGACTAGGTAAATAAATTCGTTATTGGCTGCACTTGGCAGGAAGTTCATCTCTGGAGCAGGTGGCTTGGGAGGAGGGATCTCCAAGAGTGTCTTCTCCAGCTGCTTTCTCAAGGCCAGCTTGGCGGCCGCTTGCCGGCTGGCCGGGGACTCGCTGGAGTTGACGATGGAAGCGGCGCTGGTCGTGGTGGCATTGGCCTGAGCAGATGTCACTGTGGTACCTTTGATTGAAGTTGGGGAAGCCTGGGAGGAAAGAGGACAATAGCTCAGGGACATTGGGTCTGGTTCTGGATGCCCCCAACACAAGGGTTTGGAGTAAAACTAGAGGAGGTCATGGAGATCTGAGGGCTGGAGCAGCTCTGGGGACAGGCTGGGAGAGTTGGGGTGTTCAGCCTGGAAAAGAGAAGGCTCCAGGGAGACCTTAGAGCAGCTTCCAGTGCCTGAAAGGGCTCCAGGAAAGCTGGGGAGGCACTTGGGACAAGGGCAGGAGTGAGAGGACAAGGGAGGAATGGATGAAAACTGGAAGAGGGAGATTGAGGTTGGACATGAGGAGGAAATTCTTTAGTGTGAGGATGATGAGACCCTTGCCCAGGTTGCCCAGGGAAGCTGTGGCTGCCCCATCCCTGGCAGTGTTGAAGGGCAGGTTGGATGGGGCTTGGAGCAACCTGGGCTGGTGGGAGGTGCCCCTGCCCATGCAGAGGGGTTGGATCTAGTTGATCTTTCAGGTCCTTCCAACCCAAACCAGTCTGGGATTCCAGTGCCAGGCAGGTCTCTCAGACAAGAGCTCTGGTCACCAGAACGCTCAGTTTTGCTTTTCAAGGAAGAGAGATGAAGCCCCTGCCCCCTCCCAAGGGCAGCTCCTGCTGCAGCAACAGCTGAGAGACAAGGCACAAAGCTCAGATCACTGAAATATCCATTTCTTTCCAACACTCTGATGTTTCTCTTCCTTCCTACGTACAGGGGGTGACTGGGAACAGAGGAAGGGACTGCATGGGAATGATCTGTAAGGTCCTTTCCAACCTTAACCATTCTATGATTCTATGGACAAGGAGCAGTTATGAGCAACCACAGCAGCTGGAGGACACCAGGCCACCCTGATTAGACCCAATAACCCAAGCATTATTAATGACAACCATTCATCTCCTGATCAATATGTTTGGCACCAGATGCCTTGGGGAACTCACCTGTGGGATGTTGACCAGCAGGCTGGTGTTGGGGACGTTGGCCACACGGATCAGCCCCTGCTGGATAATCCTCTGTCCCTGAATCTGGACGCTGGGGACCGAGGCCCGTGGTGCCAGCAGCAGCGGAGGAGGCCCCGTGCTGGAGTGCTGTCTGATGTTGTGGATTTGCTGGGAAGAGACAGAAATGGGCTGATGTGATGGTGCCATGAAGGATGGGGAGGGTTGGAGAGCAGGAGGGGAGCGGTGGGAATCCGATGGGATGGCATGAGACAGTGGAAAGGAGGCAAAGCAGGGGACGCAAAGAGAGCGGATCGTTAACATCCGGGCCAAACTGGGGAGTTTTGTCCCTTTCCCTCTGTCAAAATGAAACAAGGAGGAGAGGATGTAGGAGAGGCCACTGCACTGTGGCCTAAACAGCTGTGCCAAAAAAATCTTAAGTTTCTGAGTGAAATCTCTTCAGAGTGTATCATTGTTAAGCCCATTTCATTTTCAAGGCCCTAGGAAAGCTGCTTCTCAGGATGAGTTTTTCTCCCTAATCAGAAGAGAAAGAACATAAAATACCAAATCTCTACCTTCCTCCTTGATACAAGCAGACCCTTCCACTGCAAAATAAACCTTTGCTTAGCAAGGAAGCTGTTTGTTTTTTTTTCCCCCTGGTATCCCATGGAAGTTGGAATTGTAGAAGATGGAATCAAATGGAATATTGTTTTCCTGCCTCTTTTCTGTCACAGGTGATAAACACTCTCCAAGCAGCACTTCCAGAATTCCAGGCAACTACCTCATCTCAGCAGCTCTTGTTCAATTGCAAGACAGACACAATGAGAGGGAAAAATGAGTTCTAGCATTTGAAAAGGTGACATTGAGATGAGAGAAAGAATGAAAGGAAAACAAAAATGGAAGAAGTAGGGACTTTCATTTTCTCTGCTGCTGCTGCTCTTCTGAGAAGAGCAAGTGAAGCTGGAAGTCTGTACATGAACTTTCCCAGTAAAGGCAAACCAAGTGCTTTGGCACAGCTGAAGGAGGCAGCATTTGGAGGCAACACCAAAGCACTTCCCTCATGCTGCACTGGAAGCACAATATGATGCAGGATCTTTCAGCAGGGATCCAGCCATATTAAGAAATTCCAGGAAGGACTTCATAGGTACCCTCCAGACAAGCAGAAAAATGATAGTTCAGATGCATGAAGGAAAACCAGAGCAGATCTACCCCAAGGTAAATCCTTACCTGTGCTCCTCTGACCAGAGGTGGCATCACTATCTGCGTGTTTTGCTGAGTTCCTAATTTTGAAGAAGTCTGCTGCCCTCCACGGACCAAGGGAGGGGGAATAACAGTGCCTGGGATCCGTGTAGAAGAGGTCTGCAAAACAGGGAAGAGTTGACTTGCATGGTTTTGCCCTGGTGTGTTTCTGCTCCTGTTGCTCAGTGACCCACAGAGCAGCATCTGCCCCCTCGGACAGGTGGGGACGCGGTGGCACCTGGCTACAGGCTCAGGGGCTGTTCTCTCTCATCCTGCACAGAATCCAAAAGGTGAAGAGCATTCCTGAGCAACATTTTCCTCTGCCCTCCCACCTCTGGAATTCAGGAATAGCTCAAGAACTGCTGCACTCAGCCATCCCGAGAGGGAGGTCACAGCCCGGGCAGGGCTACGCGAGTGGTATGGGTGAGGATCTGTCCTGAGCCAGCAGACAAGAGATGGTTGGGCTGGTTTCAGTGCAGTGAAGTGTCCCAAAACCAAACAAAACCAGTCTGGTTTTGAGGGGCAGTAAGAGAATGGGGAAATACCAAGTGCTGTCTTCAAGGAGGAGCACAGGGCAGACAAGTTGGAGAGGCAGGAAGGCAGGGAGGGGAGCAGACTGGTGCAGGAAATGTGGGAAGGAAAAAAAGAGACAGGAGAAGGGGAAAGCTTGGGGAAAAAAATTGAGAAGAAAAGGAATCAGGCTAAAGAAGTTTGAAAAAGCACTGCCTGTGCTTTCCAGGCTGCAGACTGCATTAAATCCTCCAAGTTTCTCATGCTGCTATAAAAGGTGAGATGGTTTCCTGCCTCCCTTCATTCCTGCAGCCCACTGAGGAGCACTCGCTGCTCAAGAGCAACAAACCTCCCCATCCTGTTCACGTGGCTTCCCACATCTGGCCACCTCCCTCCACCTGGCCATCACCAGTGAAGGAAGACTTCCAAAAACACCAAAGCTCCCACTTTTACCATGGCTACACACACATATTTAGGCAGGTGGGAAGTTTTCCCTGCTCCTGTGATGCCTTTCAAGTGGAGACCAAATGTTAACTCAGCTCCTGCACCCAGGGATTAGTAGAGTTTGTAGAGTCAAGCAAAAGCAGATGGGGGGTTAGGTTCATTTGCCCAAACACAGCAAATTAGGCAGAGTAAGTTCAATTCTGGATTCTTAGCTCCAAGCTCTCTGCTCTGTCCACCTGGAGTTTCACTGTCTGATGGCTGAAGGTTTAACTCGTGCTCCAGTTCCTCTGAAAGTGCTGTCTTCAGTGGAGGCAACTTGGCCTCAAGGAAGGGATCACTCCAGCTGACAGACTGCTTTAGGGCTGCTGAGTGTTTCCTACACAGAGAGAAAAATCCACCCCTCCCCTCGAGCCCAGCCTTCTAGGAGATCTGGAAATGAAAAGTTGCCATTTTCTGAGTGAAAGCAGCTTGGGCTGAAGCAGTTTTGAAATTTGTTTCAAATTAGCCCAAGTTAAACAACCGTAAATATTTGAAATCCAGCAACATACTGAGACTCAAGAGGCAGATCAGGTTGACAGATGTCAATTGTCTCTGCTGGTTTTTTCTTTCCCTTCTCCTCAGGCTTTCCAAGGTTCCATGTAATTTAGTCTGAACCAAGATGTGCCCTACCACCAAGTGCCATCCAGCCACCAAGCCAACAGAAATTACTACAATTCACTCAGCTCTCCCAGTTCATCCCAGTCTCTCGAGGGGTCTGGCAACAGGCTGCCCCAAGATCCCTAGGACATAACTCCACCACATCCACCCTGTTAGCAGTAGTATGGATGTGTTTATCAGCAGAGTGGATCAGGATGATCAGCCACCAAAATGTAAGCTTGTGAGAGTTATCTCTGGGTGACAACTTACTTGGATCTCCCACCCCAATCACTCTGAAAAAAAAAAGCTTACAGTGGGGTTTTGGGAGTTTTAAAGAAAAAGATATATAATTCTGCTTGGCTTCAAATCCAGGAATGGGATGGGATTGTCCTTTCCCTGCCCTGTGCACCTTCTTTCTCTGCTCCATGCCCTGCACCTGGCAGCCTGGCCCACCCCACTGACCTGGAGGGATGGTTTGCCAGCAGGAACGCTCTGCGGTCCCCGCACCAAGGGCGGAGGGGTGGCCACAGCACTCCCAGAGGAACCAGCAGGCTGGAAGAGGAAAAACCAGAAAGAAAGCAGACGAGTGTAAGGGTGCAAGCAGAATTACAGAAGCTCAGGGAATAAAAGCGTTTAGCCCCTTGTGCCTGGGGAATGGAATCTTCAAAGACCGTGGCTCCCACCCCAGCCCATCCCTTTCCTTCCTCCAAGCTTCTCAACATGCACAGTTAAACAGAGACATTATTAGGTGAGTAGAGATAAGATTATACCAGGAAAATAAGGGTTTGCACACCAGAAAGCAGAGCAATGTGGAAATCTATTTAAGCAGTCTCGGCTTAGAGCCCACTTCAGCCTTATCCACCTTTACTAGTCATCACAACTAATTAGGTTCAAGCATAACACAGCGTGAAAAACAAGTTGAGGAAAAAGACTTCAGCTGTTAAGAAGTTTAGGATGAGCCATTTCACCCCGGTTAGGTCAGACACCCAGAGCTCACTGCTCAGCAGTGAGCTGAGGGAGGCAGGTACTGGCATTAGTTTCAACCCCATCAACTGAAGCACTTCAGAAGTCCAGGAGAAAGAGGCCAATAAAAGAACCAAACCCAGCCAGGAGTCAACATCCACCTGCACCCTGAGATGCTCCCAAATCTACACATCACAAGATCCATCAAGTCAGCATAACACGCTGCAAAATAAAGTGGTTTAGTTGCCATTGTTACAGATATTGAGATTTCACCTGTGCCTTGATAGCAGCGCGTGGGGAGTTCACACCCCCTCCCTTGCCTCTTCTGCCACCCTCTACCTCTCCCATTCCATGCTGGCACACCAGGCAACTGCTGACTGACTTCACCTGGAAAAACCTGGGATCCAGAGCTGGGCTTCTGCCACGCAGCACAGAGCAGACCCCCCAGCCCCCAGAGCCTGGGGTTAAACACTTCAGTTCCACCTGTCAGCACGTTTGTGACGTGGCAAGAATCTCCTCCATGTGTGTTTCAGCAGCCTCAACTTGGTACTAAGTACTGGACAGAGGGTTTGATCACTGGAAGTGTTACAGCCATCAACTGTCCTGTTCTTTGGTCTTGGCAAGGCAAAAAAAGTTCCACAAAAAGGAACGGTTAACAGGATAAACCATCACAACTCCATAAAGACTGGATGGGAAGTGAGACACGCCACACTGGAAAGCTGTCTGTGCCCCACAGGTTACAGCAGCCACCCCAATGATTTCACTTTCCCCTCCATTTCAGATGGGATGGTAGGTATATGTAGGAAAAGAAATACCTTCTGAGTAGTGGTCTCCTTCTGGATTTGACTTTGCCGTAGCTTTTTCAACAAAACAAGCTTTGCTTCTTCTAACCGTAGCTCTTCCTTCAGCTGTTTGATCATCCTCTCACGCTCCTCTGGGCTGCTCTTCTGCAGGGCCACACAGAAGAGGAAAACAGGAGGAAAACAGGGGGAGGGAAAAGACAGACCACTCAAGTTACAAAAATAATGTAGAGCTTTGTAATCATCAGCTGTGTCTCAGTGCCACAGACATGTCTGCAAAACGTAGCGACACAAGTTGAGTGTGGAGCAGGAGCTCAAAGGCAAAACAGTAGGTTTTTTTAGGTGTTTTCAGTAGGAAAACAAGTCAAGAGTCAGGCAACAAATCTCAGTTCTGGCCTGCTGAGTAAGGGAGGGAAAAGGCAAAAGAGGCACTTTTGAAGGATGTAAAAATTAAGGAGTGAAGAGGCTGAGGGAAAATAAAAGACCATCAGCCTTTAACAGCTCCAAGATTCCCCACTTGCAAATCCATCTTTATGAAACCAGGTATCCACCTGACCCTGGGATCACAGGGGACCCTGTGGGGACAAGTGGGTGCTCCATTCTTCCCAGGTGGCATCACCTCAAGCCTGCCAAGCCAAGAAGACTCACCATGAGGGCCTCCGTGTTGGTCTCTTTTAATGCTATTTTTGTTAAACCATTCATCCTAGGGCTAGAAGGTTCATTGTCGGATAAAACTATAACATCTGGTGAGGGGACTCTCTTTTCTCTCATTTCACTGCAAACCAAAAGAGAAACACAGAGAATTCAGTCAATCAGAACAAGGGAACAACTACTTCATGCTGCAAAGTGAGGTGATTTACAACCTTCTGTGAGATTGATCCCAAACCTCTGGAATCCTGAATGAACTTGACATGGAGAAGCTCAATCCACTTCTGCTCTCCTTGTGGATATTAAGTTCAAAAAGGTGCCAGGAGGCAAGATGCAGCCACAGCACAGAGCAGGGGTGGATTCTTTCAAATTAGCTTCTCCACTTCAACCCTCCCCCCCCTTTAGGAGACACGGAGGCTTTCCAGGGTTGTGTTTGCACCAGAGGAGAATCCTGGTCAAATGGCATTTTGGATACTGCAAAACCAGCCTCAGATACTGCAGGAATCAGATTTTTAAATGTAATCTCAACGTTAGTGGAAAAACTAAAGGAAAAAAGTAGAGGAGTGTCCTCTAGAGGGCACAGCAAGCCTGGGAACTGGAGTTAAGTTAAAAGGAGGGTGTTCCAAAAAGTACCAGGAGCACAGGTGAAGTATTTCCAGCTTTTCCCTGTGTCTGAATGCACCAAACTGGCTTGGATTGCTCTTAGCAGGGAAGTAACTGGGTCAAGCCAAGCTCTGACCAGTTGGATAAACTGCTCCCCAGGTGAAGAAGCTGAGAAGGCACAGACGTGACAGCCAGAGCAGGAGGGAAGGGCTGAGACAGGAGTCAGGCACTGGCCTCTCCTCAGGCTTTAAGGGTAAATCCCTCATGGAAAGCAGAGTTACTGAAACAGCTGGGAATGACAGGAAGATGGGGATTTGAGCAGGCAGCGTTGGGTACATGAACCAGCTCACTCTGGGAAGACCAGGGCTCCTCACCAGCCCTGAACCCACCCAGATGAGGGGAGGGAGCCCCGGGAGGGGGGATGCCTCATGGAGGGAGGGATCCCTAAGGAGGGGAGGGGGGAATTCCACGGTCAAGAGGTCACACCCCCAGCCCACCTGCAGATCCAACGTGAAGGCCGTTATTGGGCTACAGCCGCCGATGGCCACGGGTGACAATTCCCCCCTTCTCCAGGCAGCAGGGCCTGCCCAGCTCCCCTGGGAACGCCATGGGGGCCGGGGGCTGCCCCGGGGCCGGGCCGGAGCTGCCATCGCCGCGTCCCGGGGCTTGTCCCTGCGGCCCGAACCCGGGTTCCCTTTGGAGCCCAAACCCGGTTCTGCCCCGGCCCCTGAACCCTCCGGATGGCGGCACCG